TCTGAGCATGTTAAGGAACATTTAGAAGGAACAGCATTGCTGGATGAAGCACATCACTGTGGACATTGAGTATTGCTCTATAGAGTATTGCTCTATTTCCTGATAACCTTGTCTGCTTGTAGGGCATGACTGAAACATATTCTTTCAGCTTCCTGTTCCTGCTGCCACAATTTCCCTACCATTATGGACATCTAAGTCTCTCAAACCATAATCCAAGATAAACTCTTTATTAAGTTGCTTTTGGCCATGGTATTTTATCACAGTAACAGAAAAGTAACTAATATACTAGCTGTTGTATTGAGCACTGTATAAATGTAGATGAGCATGTGTCTCTGTAGTAGAAAATAGAGTTCTTAAGGTATACACCCAGAAGTTGTATAACTCAGTCATATTGGTGATCTATTTGTAGTTCTTTGAGGAACTGCCACACCGATTTCCATAGTAGCTGTAACAACTGGCACTCCCATTTAACAGTGCATGGGGTTTTCCAATTTCCTACATCTTTTAAAGCATTTGTTGCCTTTTATTTTTAATAAGACTTGGGTAAAATGAAGTCACAAAATACTTTTAATTGCTAACAGTGGCAAATACTTCAACTTTTTTCTTAGCCAGTTGTATTTCTCTTCTGAGAAAACTTTCTTCATATTCATAGTGCACTTTTTAATTGTGTTGTTTTCGGTATTTAGGCTTTTTAAAAATATATTGTATATTTGGTCATATATACAGCTGGCAAAGATCTTTTTTGCCATTCTCTGTTGCAGTTCAGAAACTTTCTAGATTCATGAAGTCACACTTATTGATTGTTGGTCCTATTTTCTGAGTTATTGGGAATCCTATTCAGAAAGCTTTTACCTGAGCCCATATCTTTAAGTGTATCCCCTCCTCTTCTAGAAGTTGCAGAATTTTGGGCCCAACATCAATATTTTGATCAATTTTCAACTGATTTTTGTGCAGAATGAGAGAGAAGGATCAAGTTTCATTCTTCTACATGTATATATCCAGTTTTCCCAACATAGTTTATTAAAGATGCTCTTTTTTCTATGTGTATTTTTGATATTCTTATATCAAGAATCAAGTGACTAAGCCAGATGTGGTGGCACACAGCTTTAATCCTAGCACTTAGGAGGCAGAGTTAGGCAAATCTTTGAGTTCGAGGCCAGCTTGCTCTACAAAGTGAGTTCTAGGACAGCCAGGGTAACCTGTAACACAGAGAAACCCTGTCTTAGAAAACAAACCAACAAACAAAAAAAATCCTGGGGAAAATGAGGACACAGGGAACATATCTACACATGGTAAAAGCAGTATAATAAAGGAATCCAATAGCCAACACCATTCTAGCTGGAGACAAACTCAAAACATTTCCACTAAAATCAGGAATGAGACAAGATTGTCCACTCCTCCATCTCCATTAAGATAGTACTGAAGTCTTAGCCAGAGCAATAAGATAAGTGAAAGTCATAAAGGAATACAAATGAGAAAGGAAGAATCAAAGTACTCCTACTTACAGATGATAGGATTCTATACATGGTTTAGCTTGAAAAGTCAGCAGTCAATTTACCTTTGCTTGTGACTTGGCTCTTCTAATTTTCAGCTGTCAATATACTATCTTTGTTCTGTACAGTTAGTGTTCAGCTGTAGAAATGTTTCTTTTCTGGTCCTGTGTGCTGCTTTGTGTATGTCTTCTATCCTGAATGAGTGTCTGTCCCTCTCAATCAGGGAAATTTTCTTCTGTGATCTTATTAAAAATATTTTCTATGCTCTTTGTATGAAATTCTTTTCCTTCTTGTATGATAATAATACATAGGTTTTGCCTTTTCATGGAGTCCCAGAGTTCATGCATGTTCTGTTCATGCATTGTTTTAAATGCATCATTGACTTCGATCCAATTCCTCTATGGTAGTGCCTCTCAACCTTCCTAAAGCTGTGACCCTTTAATACAGTTCCTCATGTTGTGGTGACATCCCAAACATAAAATTAATTATTTTCATTACTACTTCATAACTGTTATTTTGCTACTGTTATGAATTGTAATGTAAATATCTGTGTTTTCCATTGATCTCAAGCAACCCCTATGCAGGGTCATTTGACCCCCCAAAGGGGTTGCAACCCACAGGTTGAGATCAGGTGCTCTATTCTGTCTTCTTACATTGATAGTCTATCTTCTACACAATTCATTCAGGGTTTTTCACTGAAGATTTTATTTGACCTAGTGTGTTTTTCAGTTCCGTCATTATTTTTAGTTTGAGTTTTCCATCCTTTTATTAAATTTTATTTTCATATCCTATATTGACTGCCTTGTTTCCTTCAGCTGTCTGTGTTCTCTTTGAAAGTATTGGAGTCCTCTTTGAGACATTTTTACATATGTATAATTATTGTTTTGAATTCTGCATCTGGAATTTTGTCTAAGTCATTTTGACTAGGAGTCATGAGTTGGTAATTTTGTGGGGAGATAAGCTGACTTTGGTTTTCATGTTACTGGGGTTTTTGCACTGGGATCAGCCTTTTGGGGTGACATTGTTGGTTAAGATTTTTTTGTGTTTATTTTTATTTTTATTTACTTCTGGTTTCCTCTCTTCTTCCAGTGGGTATGTTTGTAATGCTCAGGAGAAAGTAGATTTTAGCAGATGTGGTGATGTTTTCATTGGTTAGACTAGTGTTCCAGGAACCAGGATCTATCTCCAGGCTGAGGGTTGATCATTGTCTGAAGCACCTATCACTATCCAGTAGTTAAACACCTCTGATAATGAGGAGAAAGTGACTGCAAAACAGACACTTATTAAGTACTGATTATTTTAGGGAATAAAGGAATCCCAATGCTACTAGATATACTAATATATTAGTATGAGCAGAATGGAAAGGAAAACGAAGGGAGGTAAACAATCGCATTGTGTCGTTACTCTGGAAGTAGAGGAAGGAGGTATTCATAGGACTGGGAATATTCGAGGCAAAGAAAAAATGAGGTTAATATGTGGGAGTCCCAATTAATGGTAGCCTAAAAAGAGGAGGTAAAGATGTGTATCCCAATGCCATAAACAGTGTCAGCCTGTGGGCTTTAGGAGATGTAATGCTAAGGAATGGATATGAGGAAAGAAGAAACAAAAGAAAAAGAATGTAAAACAGCAAAAGGTGTGAACAGTAGGGGACAGTGTTGGCCTGCTAGAATGCCCTTACTGCACATTATGGATAGATAGCTGTAGAAAAGGGAGGAGAGTTGGATGGAAGTCCTGAATGTTTATTTTTGTTCTCTTTGTCGGAGCCACTGCTTTTTCTCCCTGGTCCTGGGCCTGGTCATACTCTGTGTTGATTTTTACCAGTCCAATTCTTCCCTTGTAGGCTTCCAGATTCTCTTGTATGTAGAGTTTTCTTGCTTCTGTTCTGTGGGTAGCTGAGGCAAACTCCACCATCTAGCCACAGTTGCTGTATTCACACAAAGTTAGGTGCAGCTGGTGGCTGGGTGGTGCCTACAGCAAGCACAGTTTACAGCTTTGTTTAGTTCCCACAGCTTCCCCTTTTCCCACTGGGGCACTGATGGTGGCTCTGGCAGCAGTCACTGGGAAGCCCTTCTGTGAAATCCCTACCAACACCACTTTTGTGGCTATACTGGTAGGGTTCATCTAGCTTATTTTGCATCGAGTAAAATGTCCACATGGTGGTGGTGGCTGCATTGGTTCTAATCACAGCAGCAAGTCTGAGTCACTAGTGGAGATATTCTATGGGTCTGATGGTATCTGAGTTTTGGTAGGGTGTTGATCAAATAGACTTTAGGACTGGAGAATAAGCTGACTGATGAGATGATAACATATTTAGATTCCTTTTAATTCCTTAACTGTGATAAGCTACACATGCTCCAGCATGGCTTCTTGTCCACCATCTTATGAAGAAGTTCTTATTGATTGTTTTTATTCCCAGCATGATTTCAGTTTGGCTTTTCTTCAGATTTGTATGTTTTTCTTAAATTCCATTTTCATATCTTGTATGGACTTCTTTATTTTGTGTATCTCTCTTGTTTGAAAGAATGATTGCAAGTATGTCCAAATTCTTTCGCTGGATTTTCTCCTCTGTCATTTTCACTGGAGGCCATTAATATGAGATCAGTCATTTTTTGTGTGTGGAGATATATTTTCTTGGATTGTCATGTTATGTTTTTGTTTCTGCACTGAGATTTGAGTGTCTGAAGTTAGTCCATTGAGTTAGAAGTGTGGCTGGGGAACTGATACTCCAGAGATTGCTTCTATTTCAGGCCCAGGAGCTAGGGAATCCATAAAAGTGTGGCCAAGGCTCTCTGGGGACTTCTTACCTGTGGGCATCAAGAACTTGTGAGTGACAGAAATTTGCTTTGAGGGCTCAGAATCCTAGGTCTTGCCAGCACCAGAGGTTAAGGGAATGGTGGTGGTTTCAGCCAAATGTTCAGGGCCCAGCGACTGACATATTACCTATCAGTGCCTGGGAAGGCAGCAGGTTGGACCTGGTATCTAGTGTCTTGTAACCTAAGCAACATACCCCCTCCAAAACATTTGGGGCACTTGTTCTTCTTAGCACTCTTGGGAGCAAAGATTCTTGGCCCATCCACTACATTCTCATCTGAAATGCACTAATCACAAAAAGACACTTACTTGTGTCATTGCATTTATATTTTATCAGGTAGCCTTTGAACTAAAACTTGTTGGCTCGATGTGAAAATGTTAACCAAATAAATTCTCTTTTTCTGGTAATTTATAAGCATCAGTAAAAAATGCTAGTACATCTCTTCCCATGTACATCACTTGGAAATAAGGTGAAACTGAGCTCAGGTGGGAAACGAGCATATTTTATCATGGGTACAGGGAGAATAAAACAACGAAAGAAGGATGAGAAGTTGGAGAGAGGACAGAGAAGGAAGGTTGTATTGTGAAAGCGATTCAGAAGGAGGAGGAAGATAGATAGTGATGTTATTATAAAATATTAAAGGGTTCTGGATCTCATGGTTTCTATCACATCTGTCATCTACCTCATTTTTCCAGATTCCTGTGCTCAGCAGTGGAAGACTTTGTGGCGGACATTGTAAAGGCCTGGAACCAGATAAGACAGAACAATACAGCAGTTCAGTCTGTGATTTTGAAAGTAAGCTCACTTTCCTAGTGTCTCATCTCTTTGTGATCCAGGACTTACTTTTCAAGAAAACAATGGGGAATCATAAAGTAATGGCAAAGTTGAGTAGCTGGTAAGCCCAGTCTCATCACCTTCATCTTTTCCAAATGAAGACTGGCACTTTTGCTTGCATATACACATGCCATGTACCTAGGAATAAGCCGAGAATCTGCCCATGAATAGACACAAGTGTACATTAAGCATCAGTGAGTGAAGTTAATACACCAAAGCATGCGTGAAAATATATGTGCATAAATCCACAATGGGTGGAGATATGGCTCAGTAGAATGCTTGTTGTACATCCATAAGACCACAGCACTACAAACATATGCATATAATAGAAATATGCCAGGTTTGGGATATGGCTCCACAGTTGAAGTACTTCCTGTGCAAATGTGAAGACTGGAGTTTTGATCCCCAGAAATCCATGTAAGGGTGAGCATTGTAATTCCAGCACTGCAAAGTAGAGACAGGGATCCAAGAACAATCTGGCTGGAGATTATGTATATCAGGGAATTGGGAGATTGATTCGGAGATATTGCTCAATGAATGGGGTGGAAGAGTGATTGAGGATAACCCTGACAGTAACCTCAGGTCTACACACACATACACACACACACACACACACACACACACACACACACACACACACACACACGCAAAAACATGCATACACATGAACATGTACACTACACACACATTAAAAAATGGAAAAAAGAAATAGACACACACTCACTTTCTATAACAGTACCTAGCACATGACACACACCTTGTGGCAGGGCTTGTTCTAAGTGCTTTAATGTATCAGTTTGTTTGATTCTCACAGTAACTTGTCTCAAATCACAAACCACTAAAGCAGCTATTCTCAACCTGTGAGTCTTGACCCCTTTGGTGGGTTTCACAGGGTCCACCCATCAGATATCCTGCATATCAAGTATTTGCATGACAATTCGTAACAGTGGCAAAATTCTGGTTATGAAGTAGCATTGAAATAACTTTATGGTCGGGGTCACCAAAACATGAACTATATAAAAGGGTCACAGTATTAGAAAGGTTGAGAGCCACTGTGCTAAGTAAAGTTTAAATCATGGGGAAGATGCACATCTTAGAAATACATGGGTGTGAAGACAGACACCAGCACTATGCAGAGGCACACCAGCATCCAAAGAACCATGCATATGAATACACTCACATGAAAATGTTTGTATTTCTTCATGTTCCACACAAATTTAAGGGCCATCTGGACACGAGAAAGGCTGTGTGAAACATGCATAGATACCCGAAGCTGCTCAGAAACAAAGACAAGATGTTTAATTCCCTAATACTCTTTGGGCATCAGCACAGCTTGAATTCATCACCTCACATATTGATTTCTATGTTCCATGTTTCTGGCATATTACTACCCTCCAGCCTTCTCCAAACCATCACTATTCCTCATTCCGTCCTTCATAACAATACCCCGTTTCCTTCTTCCCTCTATAGAGTGACTTGATGTATGATAAACTCAGTATCCTTATTGACATCCTGGCTGAGGATGCAGATGCTACTGCTGCTGAGGAAGGAGCCACAGCATATGTAGAATGTGCCAGAGCACATGGAAAGCCCTCCGTTCCTCAAATAAACCACATCACAAGGTCCAAACTGGAGTTGTCTGCAAGGGCTCACAACCTCCAGAAGTCCTTGAAACTCATCATATTCCAGGTTGAACAAGGTAAGGTGCTTAGTGTTGTTATGACTAGGATAGGAAAAAGTAAAGGTTCCTCCTATGAATGGTTTAATGATCTCCCTTAGTCTGGGTTTGCAATCTGCCCCCCTTCCCCCGACAACACTTGACTCAATTCTGTGTTTAGGTTGTCTTCCAAATCAGTCCTCTGACTGTTGATTTGCAAAGCCTCAGTACAGATACACTGTCATTTTGACTTCTGCTCTCCTGGCCCTCAGTTCCTATACTTGTCTATTTTGGGAACTGGCACTCATCCTAAATGGCTACACGTGATGTAGGTGACACCACTGAAAGCTCTGTCAGCCCTCACTTCTTGTCATGGAAATTTTTCCGTCTTCTCCTGTCATTTCACCAACCAAGGATGATCAGCAGCCTGTGGCTATTTGGAAAGAAAATGGTGTTCATCTTTGCGTGCCTTGCACACCAGTAGTCAGTCTTGCTGACTTGCCAGTGATTGCCATTGCCCAGAATTTTTGACAGTCTCCAGACTTGCAGCTTAGTTTGAAGTTCTAAACTTCTGTGACTTCTTCATATAACATTTTTGATGACCACTTCATCTCTATAATGCTCCTTTGAAAAAATGAATTCAAAAGATGCTGTGAGATAAAGTGTGTTCTAACTGAACTATTAGAATTGAGCAGAAGTCCCATGTAACATGGAATTCTTACCTGCTATCCTTTGGTGGTTATCTGTGGCACCTTCCCCTGCCTTGGTACCTTTAGGAGAAACCTTAGTCATGTTTCTGACAATAGACATCTCCCTTTTATGCTGTGGAATAATTAAATAATCTCTGTTTCTATAGTTAGTTTTTGGGAATTAAACAATCATTTTGTCTCTATTTCTGTAGTAATGAATATCAAATTAAATTGACTTGGCCATAGCTGTATCACAATCTGTCTTTAGGATGTTCCCTCAATATATGTTAAGTTTAAAAGTTGCAGTTTGTGATCATGGGATAAATAAAGACTTGGCAGTAAGGTAGTGAGTGAACATACGAGCTTTGGCACAAGCTGAACACATGAGCTGTACAACATATGGGCTTATAAAAAAGTAACATCTCAAATGTCCTGGGTAGTAGGGTGAGATATTTGAATGAAGAGTAATGGGCCAGGGAGATAAATAGCTCAGTATACAATATACTCACTGCACACAGCTAGCAACATGAGTTTGAATCCCCAGAGCCCATGTAAAAGCAGGGTGTGGTAAAAGGCACATCTGTAAACTCAGCATGCCTGTATGGGGAAATGGGAGGAAGAGACAGGAGAATCACTGGAAGCTTGTGGGCTAACCTGGTGTATTGAAGGGCACACAAGCCAGTTAAAGATGGTATCAAGGGGAAGTCAGGAGGACGAGTCCTGAGATGTTTACAAAAAGGGTGTTTGGTTGCCAAGATTGAACCAGATGAGGTCACTGCATGAACAGCTAGGTGATCACTAGGTAAAGCATAGGGCACCTAGGTGCATGATAGGCTGACCTTTAAAACCATTGCCTGGCTCTCTTCCCACTCTGTGGTTTTTTACTTTAAAAGATGCTTGCTGTGAGATAATAAAGGAGTTCCTGCTTGACTAGACTCCCTGCTGCATCTGATTGTCTCCAGGATCCTAGGAGGCTGGGGAAAAGGCGAACAGTGCACTTATCTTTCCTCCTTTGGGCTAAGACCCTGCAGTATATATAGCAATAAACAAGAGATATCTTATATCAAGCAAGGTGGAAAATTACAACTGATTATGAGGTTGTCTTCTGACTTCCACATGTATGTTGTGACATGCAAGTACCTGCACACACATACACACACACACACACACACACACACACACACACACACACACACACCATGCATCCAGACATTTCACATATGCATATGAACACATGTGTAGCATAGTCCTAGAGGTTCAAGTCTGAACAAATGTCATGTGAGCATATGTACTAAAAAATGGAGGTAGAAGGGAATAGTGATTTCCACCCAGGTATTCCTATTACACTTCCCAAGCATTTACTCACAATTGTATTGCTGTGTGGGTGACAGAAAAAGAGTAATGATGAAAACAGAATGACACTATAAAAAGTGTGGGAGCAGAAGAGGCATCATGAAGGAAAACAGGGGAGGAGTCTGTCTACCTACATATAAATGCTCAGAAACTGTTCCATAAATGTGACTAATATCCTTCTCTACTTCCTTTCTTCCTTCCACTTTTTCTCTGTAGTTCTGGATGAAGAAAGCAGACAGTCCTTATCAGTTAAGAACTTCTCATCAGCTTTCTTCCTGGGAGAAGATGACTCAGAGGACTTTACTCAGATGAGCCCAAGACACCGTAAGGATCATTGTTCTCCCATTCTAGCCTTCATCACTGCCACATAGTTTCCGGGGAATACATATGTTTTCATGCATCTGCCTTTAGACATGACCCCACTCTATACTGGAAAGTCCTCACTCTTTTACAGAAACACCACACTATGTCATAACAGTGTCCAAAGCAATGACTATGTTAGACATTTGGAAAATACCGCTCTGATGAGAGCCATGATTTGAATTTGTTTTCACTGCCAGTCAGCAAGCACCTCAACTTTACCCTCTTCTCAGTGAAAGTCCCTCCCCATCTAAAAGGATCTAAGGAGGCCTCTGTGGCATGAGAACCCTGATGTTTATTTAGACAAAAGCCATTGATCTTGACCCTAATCCACCTGGGAAAATGGGGCTAATTATAAGTGGGAGAAAGACCTTCGGTTTGCATCTGACTCCAAAGTGATATTTTTTCCTGTTTAGGTTCTTATTATGACACCTTATCTTCTATACCTTCTCTCAAAAGTGAAGACCTAGATAACCTTAACTTAGAACACTTATATTATACGCCGGAAACGATGTAAGTATGCAAGCGTATGACCTTTTAATAGCTTTTCTGTCTCTCTGGTTGGTAACACAGTCTCACCATATCCAGAGCCAAAATCTGATTCTACTTAACTAATTGTGTGACCTACCCAGGCGCTTAACCACTGTAAACCCTGTTTTTTTTTCAAATGGAGTGAAGATAATTACTAGACTTTGCACATACGCTTGTTATAGTTGTTGAGTTTAGATGTGAAAAGTACTTGCATTGAGCTGTGTTATTTCATACTCATAGTTAAGTGCCATGTACATCAGCAGTTACTATCATAAACACATAATAAATGTTAATTATTATGTCACAGGACTTATTATCTCAGTGTTGCCTTTAATTGAAAATGGTTGAAGTCCCCCCAAAACAAATAAATAAATGGAACTGCATAGGAAATCCAAGGACACTTACTCCACCAGTCCTACTTCTCTAACATAACCCAGCAGCCAAGTTCTACAACACTAAGTTATCTTGAGTTCTCTTAGATCATTTGGGTGGGATATTAGAGAAACTCCAATTTCTCACTGTAGTCAAGGAAGGTAAAATTGATGTAAGTTTAGAGATTAATTTAAATCTCCCTATGCTTGAACAGTCAAACTATACTCTTTTCAGTTTCTCAAAAGAAGGAAACAACCCAGCAAATGTTTCTTAAATAGTTTTAGAAAACAATTCTGTTTGGGTTTCCTTCAAACAGCCCTCCACATCCTTCACTCCACCACTCATTTCTGAGGGCTCATGGGTCTGCCTCATGAATTGTGATAAGCAGTGCACTGGCAAATTTTTAATACAACCGTGTAAAAGGAGTGCCTCATTTATCCCTAGTGTAAGCCTTCCATGGTAGCTTACTCCAAGCAACTGAGATTTCTTTGAGTGCAAAATTGGGAATGAGTATGCACAGTTTACATGGGATAGTGTGAATTGATTCTACAATGCTCTAGCATTAATGTTGACACCCTAGATGAATATAGGAAACTAAAAATTGTTTGTTTCACTGTTGTTGTACCCTCTTTTACCAGACTTTCCTCTCAAATGTGAAATGTGTATACCTTTGTTTTCTGGTGTGAAAGTGCCACGAAGGAGTCAGACATCACTGAGAATAATAATATAGACTTAAATAATCAAAATATATTTGCAACTAAGATACTCAAAAATTAGTTATGGGGATAGCCTATGACTGTTTTACTCTATTTGGAGAAACAGGATACATATTTGAGGCCTACAAATATAACTAATGTTACAAATTTGGCTTCTTTAATATGAGCCACAATCTCTCTAAAGCTTCCAGAATGTCTGGACATTTTCTGTTAGAACAAGTTACTCTTGGGTACAAAAACAATCTATATATACCTTTCACGAACCATATGGCTTGTACCCAGTGGAGGAGGCCTTCCCTTGGTGATTTTTCATCAATAAGATGAAGTCTGATACCATGACACTAGTATTTCTTTCCTGCTTTAGTGTCTGCTTTTTTCCCTGTCTAATTTCAGACGCTTGAAGGAAAAGTGTGTCATGAACAACTACTTTGGAATTGGACTAGATGCAAAAATTTCTCTGGAGTTCAATACCAGAAGAGAAGAACACCCAGAACAATACAAGTAAGTAGCAGAGGCTCAGCTCTCTCTATAAATACACATAATCATAATACACATATATGTATTCATACATCAGACAAGCAATGGAAAGACCAAGATCCTTGGGAAATAAAATGCATTGGTCTCAACACTAGCCTAGTGGGGACAGTGTCCCCCGAAAGTTGGGTTGCTCTGTGATAATCAACCTGCCATCATAACATTCATGCTTCCATTCCATGGTTCACCCGTGTAGATTTCTGTTTAAATAGAGTTACATCTGTTACTGCTGTTGAGAACAGATTGCTTTGAACTTTGTATTGTTTCTAAGAGATTAACTGGGTCCTAGTAGGTGCTCCAAATCAGTTTTTGCTTGACAAGGCTACAAAGTATCCAACTTACTTCGTTGTTTCTTGGTGTTTCAGATTGGGTCCTCTGGACCCATTTATTAGTATTGGCCCGCCTGGCACCTTCTGGTAGTTTTATCCTACAGATATACCTTAAGGCAGCTTCAGAGTTCTTAAAATTAAAAGTGTGAGTTAAAGGGACCACCCCAGGCCTATGTGGGACTGACCTAAGCCCTCTGCATATATGTGACATTTCTATAGCTTGGCCTTTTTGTGGGACTCCTAGCAGTGGGAGCAGGGGCTGTCTCTGAGTCTTTTACTGGCTTTTGGGACCCTATTCCTCATACTGGGTTGCCTTGCTCAGCCTTAATACAAGAAGAGGTGTCTAGTCTCACTGCAACTTGATATACCATAGCTGGCTGATATCCATGGATGGCCTGCCATTTTCCAAATGGCAACGGAAGAGGAATGGTTGCTGGGGTATGTGTGTATTGGGGCTACTGGGAAGAGGGGAGGGAGAAGAAACTAGTCAGAATGTAAAATAGATAAATAATCCGGAAGGTGGTGGCACACACCTTTAATCCCAGAACATGGGAGGCAGAGGCCAGCCTCTGTGAGTTCAAGGCCAGCCTGGTCTACAAAGCTACAGAGAAATCCTGTCTTGAACCCCCATATAAATAGATAGATAGATAGATAGATAGATAGATAGATAGACAGATAAATAAATATTTTATGAGGGCCACCCCACCCCTGCTACTGCTACTAGAGTCTCTTTCTCAGAAAAGACCTGGGATGAGGGCAAAGTATGTTACCAGATATGAGATTCATAAAGTTTCTCTGAGTTTATTAGTGTCTTTTCATTTCCTTAGAGGGATGTTTTTTAGTATAAAAAAATTGAATTTACAAGGCCTATTTATTTTTCTTTATGGACTATGTCTCTGGTGTCATACTAATCTAACTAAACTCTGAAAATGTTGTTTTCTTCCAAAATTTTATTGCTTTTGGTTCCTAAATTTAAGTCTGTGATGTACTTGGAATTTTTGTTTGTTTGTTTGTTTGGTTGGGGTTTTTTTTTTTGTGTGTGTGTGTGTGTATGGTGCAAGCTAATGCTTGAGATTCACTTTTTTGCATCTTTAGTCACTCTTCTATTGTATGAAGAGACACAATGACCAAGACTAGATGTTAAGATATCATCATTGAAAATAAAAATAGTTATATATAGATATAGATATTTTATTTGTTTGTTTTTGTTTTTTGAGACAAGGTTTCTCTATGTAACAACTCTGGCGCATCCTGGAACTCCTATTTGTAGGCCAGGCTGGCCTCAAACTCACAGAGATCCACCTGCCTCTGCCTCCCAAGTGCTGGGATTTAAGGTGCACGTCACCACACCTGGCTAATTTCTAATAACACACTGAGTCCAAATAGTGGAACTTGAGCAACTTACCAGGGAGGATAAGAAAATTTAAGTGTATCCCAGAAGAATAGGTTGGGCAGGTAAATAAGGGATGAATACAATTGGAATTTCTCAAAGAATAAATTTAAAATATAATATTAAAAGCAAATTTAAAGTATAATATTAAAAACAAAACAAAAAACTTGAAAATAAGATGTTTTCTCCTTCTTGTCTTTCCCTACCCACTTACCACTATATCATTCACCTTCTGGCTATCTTTTTCTACCTCTCTTTCTGTAGTAGCCGCCTTAAGAACAAACTATGGTATGGTCTCCTGGGAAGCAAGGAACTGCTGCAGCGCTCCTATAGGAAGCTGGAAGAGCGGATACACCTGGAGGTTAGTAGAAAAGGATATGTTTTCTGGGCATGGTGAAAGGAAATATTGTGCCCTCAGAAATCACCTTTCCACTGTGTCCTTGGTTCTTCTCAAATTTAACTCTGGGAGTCTTGCTCACAGCCATGGGGACAAGGCATGATGTTTTGGGGCCTTTTTTGCGGGGGGAGTTCGAGACAGGCTTTCTCTGTGGTTTTGGAGGCTGTCCTGGAAACTAGTTCTTGTAGACCAGGCTGGTCTCGAACTCACAGAAATCTGCCTATCTCTGCCTCCCAAGTGCTGGGATTAAAGGCATGTGCCACCAATGCCCAGCAGCATGAAGTTTTATTTCTATTTCTATAAGAAAATGATAGTGTGAGGAGAAGACCAAGCCCCTCCTCATCTCTTTAAAAGATCCTTGTGCTGGTATCTGAAAAGCCAAGCAATAAGAGCTATTCTTTTCTTTCAGTGTGATGGAGAAGTCATCTCCTTGCCAAACCTTCAAGGCATTGTAGTGCTCAACATTAACAGCTATGCTGGAGGTGTCAACTTCTGGGGAAGCAACAGAGCAACCGCAGTGAGTGTGGAATGAGGAATGTGGTGGGAAAGAGGCATGGCTTTCCTAAATTATCTCAGAAAGGATTGTGAGGCTAGCTGGAATGGAAAGTAGACAGTGGGGAAAAGATGAGATAGGCTTGAATCCTCATTAACAGTATCTGTAGGTTCAGCCTTTTAAAAAGTTGCCATTCTAGAGCACAAGAATCAAATAAGAACCTCAGAATTATGCCACGTGATACCCGGGTTTTGACTTCTGTTACTGGGCCTGAAAGACATTCAGAAGATTACCCCAGGAGGCCATGTTCTTCATCCCAAGACAGTATGTCAGTAAAAACATCTCCTGGGAAACTAGCCATGAGCACTCTGCTCTGAGTTTATCTAAGAAGTCCATGAAACTGATAGAAATGTCTTTGGGGTTCATAGTGCTACACTGGACAGGGAAGAAATTGGCTGATTTGTCATCTCCAAAGGAGCTCAAATGTAATTGCAAGCATGATTCTCTTTTATAAGATTGGCTTCCTTACCTAATTTTAGCATAGTTTTCTCACTTCCTCATATGCTAGAAAAATATGTAACCAGTAGTCCTCAAGACATGTTTATTTATTAGAGATAAATATGGATTCTTGGGAGAACTGTGACATTATTCTTCATTCTTAGGAATATGATGCCCCTGCAATGGATGATGGGAAGCTAGAGGTAGTGGCAATCTTTGGTTCTGTGCAGATGGCCATGTCTCGTCTCATGAACCTGCAACATCATCGAATTGCCCAGGTAAGCAAGGGTTGGATGAATACAAAGATTGGATAAGAGTTCTAGATTCTATCCAAGGATACAAGGTAATCCTAGCAATTGCCTGATTGTAGGAGATCCTGGGTAGTGGAAGTAGGCAATCTGTTAGGCAGTAAGGTGGTGAGTGATGTTAAATCCAAAAAGTTTGAAGGTATTATATGCTCCTTCTCCCTGGGATGATCTGATGCATATCTTCTGCCAGGGCCTCTTCTAATACACATTCACACTGTGACCCAATGCCAGATTAACCCACAGTACTTTCCTCATTTTTTCCTTTTTTTCCTCTCTCTCATTTTCTGATAGTGCCATGAGGTGGTGATAACTATTGATGGTGAAGAAGGTATCCCTGTGCAGGTGGATGGGGAAGCTTGGATTCAGAAACCAGGCCTTATCAAGATTAAATACAAGAATTCTGCCCAGATGTTGATGAGAGATCGGGTAAGAGAAAAGTTCTACTTGAGCTCCTACATTGCCTTATTCATAGCTATCACATTTCTGGTCAAGAAGAATTCCCTAAAGGGAGCTCTGCTTACCTCTTGCATCAGGCACCTTGAATGATGGTTAGAAATACATACTCCTAGGTCTCACAACAAACTTGCTGAACTGAATGGAAAGGGGTGGTTCCTAAGAGCTTACACTTGTAAACAAGATCCTCAAGACATTTTTAATATATAAAAATACAGTTGCAAGACTCTGTTTCCCTTTCAACAAGGTTGTCCTCCATCCTACACTGCACAGAAAACTAAAGACCTTTGGTGGTGGAGAAATATACTCTTCCAACAACATTTCCTGCATTGAATATGTTCTCTTTGGACTCCATAAGATTCTGTAACATATTGCATTTACAGATGTCACCCATTTCAGCTAAATAAAAAGCTACAATGATGGCAAAGATGTCATTATTGATCATTTGTTCAAGACTTGGAGACTATCTTTTGAATTGTGAACATAATAATATCAATAGAAATGGAGGGAATGCCCTCCTAGTAAAATTCCAACATTGTTCTGGGCACATTGTATCTATTGCATGACATCATAGGTTCTTTCAAGAACCCTCTATTGAAGAGAAACTTATTTCCATATTGAGAGCTTAAATAACTTATTAATAGCCACACAAGCAGGACATGAAAAAGCCGGATTGAAAAATAAGTTTTGTATGTCTGCATCTAAATCCCATCACAACATAATATATACATTTGAAAAAGAATAGAGCACAAAAGGTATTCCTCTGTCTTATCCATCACCATGTCCTCATGTCTTACAAGCCAGTGTACTGATAATAAAAACTAAACTACCTTATACAGAAGATACATTGACTAAAAAGACTGGAAGATATATAAATAGGGACATAAGGGAATGGATAGGGATGTATTCACTCCCCTTTCCTACCTATGCCCCATATTAATTACCTGCAAAATGCCACACTCATAGACAAATCTGCCACATGTCCTCATAGCTACAACAATCATTACAATTTGCCGTTGTCTTCATCTCTAGGACTTTGAGAACTCAATGAAAACGTGGGAATGTAAGCATACTGAAATCCAGTCTGTCCCACCACCCCATTTGGACTACCAGGAATTTCAAGATAGCCTCTCTGATGGGGAGTATGCCCAGATGCAGCACTTGGCTCGGCATGCAGAAAACCTCATTAGCAGGTAAGAGGACTGGACGTCAACAGGACTAGGAAACCCAAAAATGGATAGGGAGAGACAGTCAGTTGATGTCTGTTGACTCCTGAGGAGCTTAGCTTCAGAAAGTAATCTCACTTTCTGAAGCTTTAAAATTAGGGCCCTGACAGTCCATGCAAGAAGGATTCTTTGTGTTTAACAATAAGCTAGTCTTCACACTCCCCATTAGAGCCAGAGGTGAATTTTCATTTCTCTTTGCTTTTAAGACCCAGTAGGAGTAAGAATTTATTCTTGGCCCAAAAAATGGTTCATGAAGTGAAGGTGCTTGTCATCAAGACTGGCCATCTAAGTTTGATCCTTAGGACCCCACATGGTAGAAGGAGAAAATCAACTCCCTGCAACTTGTCCTCTGACATGCATGTGTGTGTGCCCACACTAACACATGTGCAAGCATGCACACACGCACGCACGCGCGCACACGCGCGCACACACACACACACACACACACACACACACACACACACACACACACACCCTGAGCTCAGAGCCCTCAAAACTTCCCTCTATTTCTTATTATGTGCAAATACACAAAAATTAATGAATTAATTAAACATTTTGCTTGCCCTTAACTATTAGAAAGACCTCAAAGTTTCAGCAAGAGTCAGCTATGCTCCTCTATTTTAATTTCTCACTATATTCAATCTCCTAGTATCTAAATCAAAGTTTAAAAAAAAAACATGAACAAAGGTGAATACTTAAAGAAGAATAGAAACATTTTCTAGCATTTTCTTCACTGGATACCTAGTGAGAACAGAAATAGCAAGAGGGAATAGAGTTCAAATCCAGTACCCAGGGTTTTTGTTTCAATTCTTATCCTAATCTGCCAGCTCCTCACACTATAAATCCATACCAACAAACTCATCTGGTTTTGCTTTATTACAGACTTAATGACCTGAGCAAGGTCCACCAGCATGTGTCTGTCCTCATGGATTCTGTGAATGCCAGTGCTAACATACTGAATGATGTGTTCTATAGCCAGGACAATGATGAGGCGGGTGCAGCTTCCTGTACTCCCATTGAGGTATGGAGAGAAATAAGCAAATGAAATTAAGGAGCCAAACTTTAAGAGAAAGGGGGTTGAAAGGAAAGGGAAACAAAAATTGAATGGGAAATATATGCAAGTGCTAGGGTAGAAAACTGATGGGTAGAGTAGATAAGTGGTTGGGGTCATGGATTCCTAGGTAAAGTGTTTGCCGTGCAAGCATAGGTTACTAACTGAATTTATACCCCAAGCATCTGCATTAACATGTCAGGCATGGCAATATGTATCTTTATCCCAATGACTGAAGGCAGACACAGAAGGATCTCAGAGGCTCTCTAGTCAGCCAGTCTAGCCAAATCAGTGATTTCCAGGTCCAATGACAGACCCTGTCTCAAAAATGTAAGGTGGACAGCAATTAAGAAAGACATCTCACACGCATCTCTGGCCTTTACAGGAACACACACACACACACACACACACATG